ACTGTCACAGAGGGTTGACTCAATTCTGATATTCCATTGCCAAGCATGTCACACTGGAGCCATCTTTGCTCCAAGGAGACCCTCCCCTCCTCCCCTTTACCTTTCCTCCCTCCATCCCTGAGGCTAAAAGGTGAAGAAATCACAAGCTAAACATTTCAAGTGCAACTTGTTCACACGTGTCAGCTGTTGCTTTACTGACAGTGTAATAAGGGATTAGCTGAAGAATTTCAAAAAAGTAATCAACAGTCAAGGAATATTAACACTGAGGCAGATAGAAGATGATAATTGGTCCTAAATAAAAGAGAACTAAGCGGCCTGAATACCTGTTTCTGATACTGCTTGTTTGCCTTCAGTTTATTATATGCTTATTATATGTTTGCCTTCAGAAGCAAGAGCACCTAAGCAAGGAACCTATGATGTAAAGTGATCAAATTGTCCAATACCTCAACTTGAATTAAAGTTACTGTTTTCACAGTGAGTTATATCATGTCCAGAATGAAGTCACGTCCTTGCTGTTTGTTTCCTATTGAGCCACTCTGGGACACTCCTATCAGGAGTGCAAATGAATCTAGCTACTATGCAGGGAGATCTGACTCAAAGATCATTGCCAGTGCCTCAAGTCAATTAAAGTGAGCAGTATTAGTTTGGTTTAATTTTCAAATGTACCACGCCAATAAAGCAAGCACATTCTTGCAACAAGATCAGAAAAGCCAGGCCCTATTCTTGACAAAACAACAGACCTTTTAAACATTGTTCTGATTCTACCTGCCCTTTTAAGTATTATATATGTTACAACTAACTTGCTGCTACAGGGAAAGAGGGAGCGAGAGGTGCATTTTAAGCCCATAAGCATGCCACAAACTGGTCAATAAAATAAGAGATTTACGAGTTAACAGGGGAACATATCTGAACATATATGTTTACTGTTTCAATATGGACAGACATCACTGCTCTCAATTGCTACATTAAAAAGGTACCTTATCCAAATAGTCGTATCACCCACATATTAAATCCACCCTAATGAAGGCTGGCTCCAGCAAATATTCCTCTCACTTTCCAATCGCTTACAACACAGTCACAGCAAGCAGCTTGAACGAAAAAGGAAACAACGCACTATCCATCAGCGAAATTGCAAAATGTCTTGCTCAAAGCGAGCTTCCTCATATGTTTGTCATTAACGTGGGCACTTGCAATACAGACAGCACTGCTTTTAAAGCTATAAAGTTTGTCTTCGGGAGGAAGTGGCCATAATAGCTATAAAATCACAGGGGGTGGGAGAAGGGAGAGACGGGTAAAGAGAAAGAAAAATGGGAGGAGGTAAAGAGGAGAAAAGAGGATAGTGGCAGAACATCTGACAAAACAACTAAATCATGGAGGCTGGTTTCAGAAAAGTTAACATTCCTCTGGTCTCGGGGGTCTTATTCCAAATGGCTGGGAGCTGTATCAAAATGAAGCAGAATATTTTTTTAAATACATGGAAGCTAAAGGGTAGCAGCTTTATTATCCTTTCACATCAACCCCCCACCCCCACCACCACCCTTGCCTTGCAGACAGTATTTACAGTAAACACCCAGGCAATTCAGAGACCCGGGTCAGTAGATACCAAAGCTGAAAAAAATGCCAAAAAAAAGGTAAACAGTGGGTGTTAAAAAAGAAATTTAACTCCAGAATCCTATTCATAGCATGTCTTAGTTTCCTTACTCCACACAGAGCCTAATAATAATCCCTCCAAAAACAATAATAAATTGGTCATCTTCAATCTACGACTGTTTGTGGGACATTGCTGTGCGCAATTGGCTGCCGCGTTCGCCCACAAATATACAGTCAATTCACTTTACAGTGTGTTCTGTGAAGCGCTTTGGGATGTCCTCCCGACGTGAAAAGCGCTATATCAAATGCAAGGATTATTATTATTATTATTATAGATCAATTTTCTCTCTTCTTGTACCAAACCATCCACAGTATTTTTTTTCATTTGACGTTTGTTTGGCACGGGCAAACAATTCAGATTCTGTTTCAACAAATGTTGGCAGGTCTGGTTTGTTACTTATAAGTTGAACAAAAGCACTTGCCTAGTACCACAGGACAGCCCCCCCAATCAGCACAACAAAGATCTTTCTTCAGATAGAGCCTCATCAGAAACTCACTTCCGGTAAAAACTGGCCAGTCAAGAGCTTCTAAAAACTGCTGGCCAGGACCAGTTGGAATAATGGTATCTAAAAAAAAGTCAACGGCGTGGGTCTTGTGGGAGTATTGGTATCTAGAAGGCAGTCAAAGAGGAACAGACAATTATACTGACTGGATATAATTCTGCCACGATACAAACAAAATCTCCTCCCAGTATTCTGACCTACCCAGTCTGGCGGAAAAATCCAGCCGCCACAAAAAATGTCTCTAGCACTATCTACAGTATTTGCAAACCAGGATTCTTGTTTCAATTACAGAAGCTAGCACACCAACTAGAACAATGAACCAAAAAGCTGTAACCGTTTTTTCAAAACACAGCTCCACTACACAAATTTACACCACACCAGCATTGTGACAAAAGTGCTATAAAGGTAGATGAACAATCTCTGCTTATAGTGCGCTGCACACAAGAACACATCAAAGGTAAAGTATGGAAGAATTATATGTACATCTAGGATGGCTGCATCTGTATGAAATCACATCCTTACCTGATCATCTTCCTGTCCTAAGTTATTACAGTTAAATAAGAGTTGTGTTTAGTCGCATGAAAATTGTTCACCCAAACTAAAAATCATTCATTGGCTAGACACCAAACATATGCCACAAGAGCAAACCACAAAAACTCTCTGGAACAGCAGAATCCCTTTTCCAGCTGCTCCACTGCGATACACCCTTATTCCACCGCATATCAGTATCACATCAATTCTGTACAATTCTGGGATGGCTAATCACCTGAGCTAACTTTCAACCAGTTCACCATCAGCAGCCAATACTCCCACAGGACCCAGGCCAACACAAGGAAATTCAATACAAGAATGGTCCTAATATTATTAACTTTCAAAAACGCAAAGCCCAATGGCCACATAAACAAAATACTGTGAGGGAACAAACTGTTTCTTTTCCTTGGCTTGCAGTTTGGTCTATTTAACTCATACATGACTTACTATGCAGCTTCAGTCATGGAACAACAAAAAAAAGTACAGTAATGTTAAGGTTTATTAATTAATATTAATGCTTTTTAATATCCTCCCTCCATAGGCTGCAGATCATCCAGAACTCTGCAGCCCGTGTCCTCTCCTTCGTGACCCTATCAACCCCATCCTCGCCCGACTCCACTGGCTTCACTTCACACAGAGGATACAATTCAAGATCTTGGTCTTTATCTTTAAAGCCCTCCATGGTCTTGCTTCCCCCCTACCTCTGCGATCTCCCAACCCCCTATCAACCTGCCCACTCCCTCCGCTCAGCGGGCTCTGGCCTGCAGTACGTCCCCCAGCTCGCCCACCCCACCATTGGTGGGCGGGCCTTCAGCCACTCTGCCCCCATCCTCTGGAACTCCATCCCGAAATCCCACTACCTCGCCCCACTCCCTAGCCTCCTTCAAGACCCATCTCAAGATCCTCCTCTTTGACCGTGGGTTAAGTCACCCTCCTTCACTGAGTTCACTCCACCCTCCCCGATCCTCAGCTAGGGTCCGAAACACTGATTATCCAGCGCCTTGGGATATGATCCCAATGTGAAAGGCGCTATACAAATGTAATTTTGTTGTTGTTGTAACACTGATCCCGACACTGATACCCACTCTGACACTAAACCAGATCCTGACACTAATTCTAACCCTGACCTGGTTACTAATCCCGACACTGACTCTTATACTGAGACTGATACTAACCCCAACACTAACACAACGGTAACCCTGACACTAACACTGACTCTGATACTGACACTAACTCCAACACTAACTCCGACAGTAACTCCGACACTATCACTGACCCTGAACCAGATACTAACCCTGACTCTGGCACTGATCCTGATACTGAACCTGGTATTGACACTACTCTTGATACTGAACCTTGGAAAACAGTATAAAATAATAATTTTCCTTGCATTTGATATAGCGCCTTATCACGTTGTTGAGATGTCCCAAAGTGCTTCACAGAATATAGTGTAAAGTGAATTGACTGTATATTTTGTGGGTGGAACCATAGCCTCTTTTTGCAGCACACACGATATAAACTGCAATGTTTCATTCATAAGCAACGTTTATTTTAAAATATCTGGTGTGAATTTGTTTCTAAGTATTTTTCTAAAAGGTAGACTCTAATGAAGAGAGATATGAAATTAAATGTACTTTCAAGCATGACCAGGATTTGTTTTTACCCCTTACAATGTGTTTATATATAGTATATATATATATATATATATATACACACACACACAGCGCAAATCCAGAGTAGGTCTGGGTTTACATTCTATCTAAAGATTTAAGTCACATGTGCATAAAGTTTTAAACATTTAGCAAAGGAGAAGACAACTGGATTCAATATTGTAACTTCTGGTTGTACCAATGTCCTCTGTATAAGCCAATTTGTATATATGCACACTGGTTTAGCTATGGTTCTGAATGCTAATGGCATAACCTATCGACACAGTGTTCAGATAGCACTAACAGTAACACTAGATCAGCACTAACAGTTGATTTTAGTAAATATATTAGCATACAAATTTGCATTGTAGCATTCCTGTTTTTCTCCAATATCTTAGTAACCCTCATAAAATACAGCTGCGTACAATATTTGGGGATTCTTTAGCCTGAGGCTACTATTCACCATTGGACCGCAGTTTATTTCTCTCACTCGTTTTTGCAGTTATTGAATTGTTTCCTGTTTGCCTCTTACATAATCTATAGTTAAAAATGGAATCACCCTGGGCCTCAATGGTCATGTTCCAACCAGTAGTCTTCACACGTGACGGCAACAGAATGTTGTGCAAAAAAAAACAAAATAAATACTTCAAAAGATATACAAAAATACCAGAGGTAGACATCCAAATTGCAACCGAGCCAGTGGAGTTGGGCGAGGATGGGGGTGATAGGGCAGTGGAACCTGGTGCAGGAGAGAACACGGCTGCAGAGTTCTGGTGTTCTGCAGCCTATGGAGAAATGGGGAATGGCCCAACTCCCTGTTGGCACAAGCAGGGAGTTTGCGTAGTCGAGCCAGGATGTTATGAATGCGTGCATGAGGGTCTTGGCAGTCTGCACTGTGAGACAGTGGCGGAGCCGGGCGATGTTGCGGAGGTGTGGGAAGGCAGAGCGGGTCATGGCATGGATGTGGGGTGGAAAGGATGGTTAAGGGTCAGAATGGACATCAGTGTCGGGGTTAGTGTCCGTATTAGTATTAGAGTCAGTGTCAGATCGGGTGTCAGTGTTGGGGTACGTGTTGTGTGAGGGTTAGTGTCAGGGTCAGTATTGTGTGAGGGTCAGTTTCGGGGTCAGTGTCAGAATGGGTATCAGTGTCTTGGTCAGTCATTGTCGAGGACAGTGTTGTGTGAAGGTCAGGGTTGGTGTCAGTGTCGGGGTCAATGATAGTGTGGGGGTCAGTGTCACGGTTGGTGTCAGTGTGGGGGTCAGTGTCAGTGTGGGGGTCAGTGTCAGTGTGGGGGGCAGTGTCAGTGTGGGGGTCAGTGTCAGTGTGGGGGTCAGTGTCAGTGTGGGGGTCAGTGTCAGTGTGGGGGTCAGTGTCAGTGTGGGGGTCAGTGTCAGTGTGGGGGTCAGTGTCAGTGTGGGGGTCAGTGTCAGTGTGGGGGTCAGTGTCAGTGTGGGGGTCAGTGTCAGTGTGGGGGGTCAGTGTCAGTGTGGGGGTCAGTGTCAGTGTGGGGGTCAGTGTCAGTGTGGGGGTCAGTGTCAGTGTGGGGGTCAGTGTCAGTGTGGGGGTCAGTGTACATGTGTTGTGGTGGCGGAGGCCGCTCTCTCTCTCTCTCTCTCCCTCTCGGGGCGGCTGTTGTCGCGGTTCGTGGTTAATGTGAGAGACGCTGGAGTCGGGTTTGAAGGAAAGACCGTTACGTTACTCACCGGCACGTGAGGGCGGCCGAGGAGCGGTGGGTGACAGGAGGCGACCGAGCCCGCGGCGCGACGGGAGCCATTCCCGAAGAGGAGGGGAGACGGGTGGGGGGGGGGGGGGGGAGGAGGGGTGAGGGTGGGGGGGAGGTGGAGGGAGGAGGTGTGTGGGGGGAGAGGTCGTGTATGCGTGTGTGTGCGTGTGAGGGACGGAACCTACGAACAAACCGGAAGGGAACGAGTGTGCGGGACACAAAGCGCGCCGGAAGTGAGCGGGGGAAGGCTTACATGGGGACACGGGCGCTGCTGAGTGGACGAGCGGCCCCGTCCATCATTACCACCAGACGCTGCGCTCGGCGCGTCGGGACGCGCTCCTGACGTGAAAGGCTCTCTGTACCAACGTTATTTTGTTGTTGTCGCCCAGTTGGAAGCTTTGCCCCCGTGTCGGTGGGGTGTGCTGTGGGCAGCCCACGGTTAGCCGGACCCTTCCCTTGGCTCAGGCTCGTGGATTCGAGCTCCACATCCAGACCTTGTCGCAGTCCAGGCGGACACCCAGCGCAGTGCCCCGGGTGGGGGTGGGTGGGGGGGGGGAGCGCCGCATTGTCAGAGGTGCTGTCCTTCGGATGAGCCGCTAAACTGAGGTCCCATTTGCCTGTTTACGTGGATGTTAAAGAACCGGCGACGCTATTTTTGTTTTTAAAAAAAAAGAAGGGAGTTTCTCCCGATGTCCTGGCCAACACATTCTTCCAGATGATTCCATTGTCTCTCGCTTTGTGTGTCTTGGTGGGAACTTGCCGTGCTGTCGATTTTGACAACAAATGCGCAGTCACTACACTAGGCCGTAATTGATTGTGCAGTGCTTTCAGATATTTTAAATGTATATTATATTTTGATCGTTTTTAAGATTACCAATACATGCAGGACTAAGAATGACCCTTCATTATTTCATCGGTACGTCCATAACACATTGCTAACAACAACAAATTACATTTTATGTAGTGCATTTTCATGTCGGGGAATGTCCCAAGGGGCTGGACAATGAAGGGTTTGCACCTGAGCCTCAGGTTGATTCAGAGAGGGGTGGAGGCCAAATGGGTGGAGGAGGGAAGATGACCGAAGGGATGGTCGAAAAGGAAGGTCCTGAGATGGGCCTTGAAGGAGGCAAGGGGTGGGGGTTGGTGAGGCAGAGGGGCTCCAGGATAGAGTTCCAGAGGATGGGGGCAGAAAGGCTGAAGACCCGACGGCCGATAGTGGAATAAAGAAATTTAAAGCCTTTAACATTCACCCAAACAGGCAAACAGGTCCATGGTTATTGTCTCATCCAAAAAATTGCACCTTAGACAATACAGTGGTGCAGTATACTGTACTGGAATGTAAGTCAAAACCGTGAGCTCAAAGTCTCAATGTGGGGCTTAAATCCACAACCTTCCGTCTCAGAGGCGAGAGTGCTACAAACTGAGCCAAACTAATCTCTCTAAACAAGTAAAGCTTAAGAACTTAATTTGCACCTCATATGACTTTGAGCAATCTTTGGGGTCACAAGATTGGCTTGACTGAAGAAGGCCCTTCAGCCCATCTGATCTCATCCCTCCAGAATACCCACCCACTATTTTCCACTGGTCGTTAAAATAAAACTCTTTTTCCAACAGTGTATCTTTTAAAAAAAATCTTAAACAGATAGAAATAATTTCTAGTATTACTCTATATCATAATGGTCATTGGGAATACAATTATACTATGTTAACATAATGTTAGCACTGTTAGAGGAAGGGGGAATCTTCTCAACTACACAGAAAATATGAATAGAAAGAAAAAAAACTTAGCCCGGAGAACAGGCAGGAAAATAGATTTCAGGAGTGTTTAAAATCAAAATAACAGAATAAATGTTCTGTCAATATTCTGAGTATATCTGTCGGTGAGAATTTGCGAAAGATTCAAGTGTTACAATAGATCTTGGCATTAAAGCTGGACTGCACTGTGCAATAGACATTGCTTAAACCGCAAATACGTTACAGCTGCACTATAAAATTACACAACAATAAATGTTGCATGATAGAAAATAGAAGTGAAAATTGCATAGCACGTGCATAAATAGTTTGCAATGAAAAGTACAGGTAAAATTGCATTGCATTGTGACAAAAATGAACATTTAAAGAGAAAAGTTTCAGCAGCATAATCTTGCGACAGAAATAAACACAGTATATTTCCTTTAAATTTATATTTCTTGATGATTTTGTTAGTCTCTGTTCATCAGCATAACGGTGTTGCAGAAGGGAACATTTTTCTGTCCTGTACACTTAACATCAAGCACTGACAGAAGTTTCTACGAGCATCTCCAGTCTATCAAAGCAACATGCCTTTACCTAAGCTCAGAAGAACACCCTTGACTGATATAGTGAAATGTTCCTTTCTCACATAAAGTATGCTTGAGGCCCTTCTAAGTCAGATGGCAAATCAGACTTTCAAATTATGCCAAACTAGAGGCTGTTTTTTTCCATGAGACCATACATACCCATAAGGAACTGGGTCCAGTCTGTCTGTGATCTCACTTCACATAGAATCCTTACAGCAGTTAAAACATTTACAACTGATCAGCCGAGTCCTGGTCCCAGAGGAGTAAAACAAGATCATTCTGTAGTATGAATCCCCACTCAAAATGACAAAATCCTTAATAGAACGTATTAGGCAACTGAGGGACGTGTTATTCTCGGTGCGATCATAGCAAAGTCTGGTTTTTGTTCTCACCCACACATCTGGACTTTCAGGGGCCGAAAAAGTCAGAGCCATCTGTTTTTCTCTATTACTCATGCTTGGATGGATCTTTCTTGACTTGTATGACTCAGTGTTACATTAGACAATTCACTAGAAATACACAAGGAGAATCTATAGTTTTACATTCAAACTTTACACTTCCATATTGTTTCTGAATAATGTGAACAACAAGGGAACCAGAAGAGATGTTACTACAATTCGCTATCCCCAAAGTTTTCACTCCTCCAGGTTTGTATTAGGTTTAGTTCATAGTCCTTATTGCGCTGTTAGATTTAAAGACAATAATGAGAGAAAAGGAGAGTTCTGTCAGGGAAAAAAACTCTGTAAAACACAGATGGCTTTGTATTAAGATATACATTTATTACATTGCAAGGAGATTGTGTGTTTGTATTGTTTGAGAAGTAGCATTGGCTGGAACATGAAAGCTGAGAGATGAGGAACCTAATCTTGTAATCAGCCATTCGAAACCACAGAAATCTGTTAGCAGAGGTCCAGTCAGTGCCGGTTTAAGAAAGTAAAGTACAAGACTGCGCAAGATCTCAGTCTTTAAAGCATTAAGAGCTGCAGTTCAACATACAGCAAACATCTGCCCCAGTTTAGGAAATATTAAAAACTGCTGGTTGTCTTTCTGCACATACATGTGCCAAGCATTATAGAAGACCTTTTTGAGTCCATAGGAATTCATTCAAATGCAAAATATCTACTTACAGAAAACAAACACAAAACCACTACAAACTGTGAATTCTGCAACTAAAGCAACCTGATTGACCAATTCTGCTTTGGCTTTGTCTCCATTAAGTTAATTTGAAATCTCATAATCCTTCTATGATGAAGAAAAGCTAAAGATTCTTACCTTGTGTTCTGCTGTGTCAGCACAGCACTAATAAAATAAACAAATTGGCACTGTTACCTCTGCAGGCTCCCGACACCACAAAAGAGATTGTTTCTAAAGAGAAATACCTCTGGCAGGCAGTACTACCCCAAAGCAAAAAAAAACGTGGTCAGAGTCAGGTTGACATCTATTGGGATCAATAGTGGACCGAGCAGTTCTGCTCACTCCTACAGATCAGCAAAGCCTTTTTCGTCTCTTTGGGTTATATCAACCTTGTGCCCAATGACACAACCCAAGTCTACACCAACAACAAGATTACATTTGTATAGCGCCTTTCATGTCAGGAGGACGTCCCAAGGCGCTGAATAAACTAAGCAAGTCTAAGCAATGAACAATTTGGAGAATCCAGATTAAATTATGATTCAAACTAAGTT